AGAAGACACTGATTAAGGGGTTTGAGGAGATACACGGCAGAAAAACAGACCTTTGTGAAACAAGACTTCACGGCTCAACATTGTGCTAACAGCTTCCATTCATCTAGAAAGAACAGGCTTTATTTTTAAGGTGGTTTTTGTCCCTGCGGCACTGAGAAAGAAAAAATAATAGCCTGTATGCTTTGAAGTGTGGAAAGTCTTGTGATTGACATTGACAGCCAGTGAGAGTGGACATTCTTGAGTCTTTAAATCATCATAATTTACTAAATTAGACTGGAGCGGGTTAAATTGGTCAGCAGTTAACAGCCAAATAAAAGATCAATCTTCATCACTCTTCTTGTTTTCCTTTCATTAAAGGTGACACTGATGTTAACTCTGGCTCACTCTCTTTCTTCCCTACAGGTCACTGCTCACCTACTTTTTCTTCTTGGCGTTTTTCAGCTTGAACTGTTTGAAGTGTCTTAGTTGTTCATTTGTAGGATTAACCTAGATGTAAAGCAAAACCAAGAACTAAATTTCTCCCAAACCTGACCTTTGGTCTCCCTTTAGAGAGCACTGAATCAATTCTTACTACTATACTAGTTTTAATTACTACAAAAATACATGGAGAATCTAAGAAGTATTATTACACACACACAAAGCTCCAACAACACATCTTTTTTAGGAAAAATACCTTTACTACACTCACACTGAAATCGATTACATTTAACACTGAGGACAAACACAAAAGCACCATCAGCAGAAACTACAATGAAGCCAATTAAATGATTCTGCACTTTGCAGTTACAGTTTTCTATCATTTTTCTAGGTTTGAAATAATATTTAAGTATAAAGAGCCACTACTGTACACATAAGTACACATAAATATTTTTTAAACTGACAAATATTTTACATGAATGTTTTAAACATATTTACAGTCAGTCACAGTTCTCCATGTTGTCCAGCAGGGTAAACATGCTATGTGTTTGACTTGACAACAGTTTGGTGGCTTTGCTTTCCGTAAAACGTCTCGGGTTACGTATGTAACCCTGGTTCCCCGAGAAGGGGAACGAGACACTGTGTCGGTTACGACACTATGGGAACGCCTCTAGGCGAAGCAGGTCTGAACGTGAATGAAATCACTCCGATCCTATTTGCTTGTTGCTAGAACGGTAAGGTGTGACGGAATAACCGGAGGAGTATAAAGCACACCTGTACACACTCATCATTAGCTTAAACTATGAAGCAGGCGCTTCAGGCGGGGAGAGAGGTGTGGCGGGCCGACGCAGTGTCTCGTTCCCCTTCGAGGGGAACCAGGGTTACATACGTAACCCGAGACGTTCCCCTTCGAGGGAACTCGAACTGCGTTAGTTACGACACTATGGGAACGAGATACCCACTGAACCGTGCCGAAGGAAGGTAAAGAGTGTAAAACTGAATAAATGTGTGCGGAGTGGCCCAGCCAGCCGCTACAGAAACATCCTGCCGTCACATGAGGTGGAGGATGAAATGCCTGCAGCACTGTGGACCCTGCCGCACAAGAAGGCACTTTAGGGATGTATCCTGGACGAGGGTGCAGGATAGCCCTAATATTCCCCGGGGCAAACTCCAGGCTTTGCGGGGAAACTGAAAGCGCTTGGAGATCCCCCATCCTCCTCAGAGAGGTGATAGCAAGGAGAAAGGCCATCTTGAGGGTCAAGTGCTTAGCCTCAGCTGACTCCAGGGGTTCGAAGGGGGCCTCAGCCACCGCCCCAAGAACCACTGCCAGAAGTGGGAACCTTGGACCGAGTCGCAGGTCTCATTCTCCAGGCACCACGGAGGAAACGTACAACCAAGGGAAGTTTCCCCAAGGACCCCTCCCTCAGAGGGGTGTGGAAAATAGCTGCCACGTACACCTTGAGGGTGGAAGGGGAAAGACCAGCAGAGAACCGGTCCTGGAGGAACTCAAGTACCTGAACCACCGGGCAGGTAACAGGGTCCACCGACCGCTCCCTACACCAAGTGGAGAAAACGCTCCACTTCAGGCCGTACATCCTCCGTGTGGACGGGGCCCTGGAGTTCAGGAGGGTCTCGACTGCTCCGGCTGTTAGACCCGCCTCTAGGTACTGTGCCCCCTCAGGGGCCAGACCCACAGTCGCCATATGGCGTGGCAAGGGAACCCGGCCCTGCGCCTGGGACAGCAGGTCTCTCCTCAGAGGGACCCGCCACGGCGGGCCGTCCAGGAGCGACATGATGTCCGAGAACCACACCCGGGTTGGCCAGAACGGGGCTACGAGCAGTAGGCCGACATTGTCCTGGCGGACCCGCTCCAGAACCCCCGGGAGCAGAGCGACTGGGGGAAAAGCGTACAGACGTAGCCTCGGCCACGAATGTACCATGGCGTCCAGACCCAATGGGGCTGGAGGAACGAGAGAAATCCATAGTGGGCAGTGCGTAGTCTCTTAAGACGCAAACAGATCCACGTCTATGGGGCCGAACTCTTCGCACAAGAGCTCCACCACTTCGGGGTGAAGTCTCCATTCCCGGGGCCTCAGCCCCTGCCTCGACAGCAGGTCTGCTCCCTGATTCCCGGGAGATACATCGCCCTGAGCGATAGTAACCTCTACTGGGACCACAGGAGGATCTGACGCGCCAGTCTGTACAGAGAGTCCTTTAGATGACTAAAGAAAGACTCCCCTACCCCGGTCTTCCCTCAGCTCCGTCGGGACTGGATGACGGTCCTCAGATCGCGTCTCTCAGAAGGATAAGGGTGAGAGCGCCGTCTCGCTGCCCCAGCTCCTCGGGGGGCCCCCGAGAAGCGACACTCTGCTTCCTCTCCTTTCCGTAGGAGCTCGTAGAGGGAAGGGACCTACGCCTGGCAGCTTCAGCTGCCTTGGCGTCCAGACCGGCGAAGGAGGTACTGGCGGAACGCTTCGCCCTGCGTCTAACGCTCCGTGGTTCTGCGAAGCTCCGCCAGATCTTCCTCAGAGGGACCCCCCCTCTGAACCATGTCCTGTAGCAGGTCGGCTTGGTAGGCTTGAAGCACCGCCATGGTGTGCAAGCTCGCACCTGCCTGGCCCGCTGCCATGTACGCCTTCCCCACAAGCGTAGATGTGGTGCCACATGACTGGAGGGTAATGCCGCAAGTCGAGCGGAGAGATAGCTCGCAAGCGCATCCTCCACCCGAGGCATCCTCCCATAACCACGGTCCCTAACCCCCATCACATTACTGTAGTTCAGTGATCGGGGTGTGGAAAGCCGTGTAGAGAAGGGTCTGCCCCATGATTACTCAGTTCATCATGTAAATCAGGAAAGAATGGCAGAGACCGGCGTGGAGGTGGCGTGTGGTGCTTAAGAAACCTTTCATCAAGCTTACCACTAGCCTGTGGTGTCTGCTCCTCCTGTGGCCAGTTGATGTTGATGTTGATGTCATAGTCGGGCGCCGCCAGATGACGCCGCCCCGACACCTGGAAGTCATCGTCCACTACGCTGAGCACGTCCGCCTCCTCGGAGTCGGATTGCTGCAGCGTCTCCGGATCCAAACCGCGAGCGGGAGAAGCCGAGAACGGGCTCCCGAACGAGGAAAGGAAGCGTCGGAGCCAGCGGATGAAGGTCGGGAAAAAGCCTCAGCCGTCCCGAAATCCTCGATCCACAGATCACGCTGTGAACCCCATGAGTGAAGCCACCGGGCCGCCTCAGCGGCCGCAGGGCCCTCACCACGGGGAAAACACATCCGGCCATCCTCGGAAAAGAGAGCAATGCTGTACCTCAGTACCCGCACGGAAAGGGCTTCGCAACAGGTGCAGGCAGCCCCCTCGAGAGCTGCCCGGGCGTGCTCCATCCCCAAACATGAGATACACATCTCATGAGAATCTCCATCCGTGACGTACCGAGGGCAAGAAAAAAAACACACCTTCTGTACATCTGGTTGCCGGACATGCTGGTAGACTTCTTCTTCAGGTAAGACATACTGCTCGTAGGACTGGAGTTTTCTTCAAACAACATACAGAGTGCCTGCTGAATAGAAAAAAGCTAATGATGAGTGTGTACAGGTGTGCTTTATACTCCTCCGGTTATTCCATCACACCTTACCGTTCTAGCAACAAGCCAATAGGATTGGAGCGATTTCATTCACGTTCAGACCTGCTTCGCCTAGAGGCGTTCCCATAGTGTCGTAACCGACGCAGTTCGAGTTCCCTCGAAGGGGAACCAGTCACACAAAATCTCGTGAAACAAACCTTGTGTCATGAAATGCAAGTAAAATATGACGGAGGTGGCACAACTAAAAACCATTGTGGTGGACAGACGTGAGGCACATTCAGCCCTTGGATGTGTTCGTAGAGCTGGATACCTGACCTAAAGATGGCGCCCATTCAGTCCGATAA